CAGGACACGTCCACCTCCACTCCCTGCTGAGACTGCTGGTATCTTTCTTCTGCCAAGTCATACAGAGACAGCTGGCTTTGGTGCTGAGTGGCTACTGCTTACAAGAGTTGGGCCTTCCTGAACTGAGGCTGCAGGAGGTAGTGCTGCTCTGCAATGTTTGAAAAAAAAAGGGGCAGAGAGATCTTCCAAAGGAGCTGCTTGTCTATCTGTGGCTTGATTTGTTCCATCTGCTAGAAGAGATGGCTGTTGAGAATTGAGAAATTCTGCTAGTGTAGAGCTGAGAGCACACAATGCCATGGAATGTCTGCATTGTGTCCCAGCTGCTCCCTGAGGTAATGCCTGCTCTTGATCTTGCCCCTTCCCTTGTAAAAGCCTTTGCAGGAAATGGGTGAAGAGCCATCATCTTCACTCCTACCACCTTGATCAGGGCAACCTCTAGCCTCATCCTGACTCCTGTGGTTTCCAATCTCAAACGCCCCTATGGAGAAACAGTATTGGGAGAGATATGTTTATTGGTGTTGTCTGGAGAGACACACTACAGCACAGCATTGCCCATATTCTTCCTCCCCGTAGACACCAGTATTCCAAGCCTTCAGCTTGCAACAGAGCTGGAGGAGGCTTGAGCCTCTTGTTCCTCTACAGACCATGTCCCAGGAGAACTGCCAAGAACCAGATGAGACTCATCTTTTGTAGGCCCTTTTGGCCTTGTCCAGCGAGATATGAGGGGGTTAGAACCATGTTGGAGTTGTGTGAGCAGTTGTCCAACTTGCAGGTAAGCATGAAGCAGCTGGTGTGACTGGATGAACTGACAGAAGAAAACCAAAGTAAGCAAAGAATGGGGTCTGCTGTGTAAATATATGGATGTTGTTAGCATGGGCAAATACTACCAACAGGAAGATGGTGACCCTCTCATCTTTGGAGAAAGGTACTGTAACACTGGAGATATTGGTCCAGGATTTGTTTGATCTTCAGTCTGATGACTTGTCTGGGAGATGGTACAAGGAGAGGTGGGTTTGCACTTGGAGAAGGCCCATAAGCTCCTTTAAAATTCTGGCTGTTAAATGGGGCCCTTGGTCTCTAATTATGCTGTCTGGGAGGCCATGGCATCATAAAACACCCTATGGGAAGGCAGAGGCAGTCTATGGGGCTATGGGCAACTTTCTGAGGGGGGATAAAGTAAACTATCACTATCACAATCACTATGATCACTGCTCTTAAATCCATACACACAAATCATAGAATCATAGAATGTTTTGGGTTGGAAGGGACCTTTAGAGGTCATCTGATTCAACCTCCATGCAGTGAGCAGGGACACTGTTAACTAGATCAGGTTGCTCAGAGCCCCATCCAACCTGGCCCAGGCTATTCGGCAGCAGGGAGGAGCTGTTAGGGACCCTGTGATCTTCTGGTGCAAGCACAGCTGTTGCAGGCCTGGGCATAGTCAGCCACATCTCCTTGTCCTGTGGGCCACCAGGTAGTCAGGTACTGCATAATCCAGCAGTTCCAGTGTCTGGGTGCAGGAACATGATGGCATCAGCAGAGGAATTTTGTCTGCAGTGGTCCCTGTAGGGTGTACAGCTGCCTGCCATGGTACAGGCAACCATTCTGTACTTGCAGGTTCAGGGCAGATGGACTAATGGGATGCTATGTTAGATTCAGGTTACTTACAGTAGCCTGGAAAAATTTTACAATGAATTCATCCCCTGCCATGGCTGTAATGAAATGCCTTGGAGAAAACAGGATTGGGGTGCATGCAGAAAGTATGCATGCAAATCTGAATCTTCCTTCCACGACAAGGCATTGCTGTTCTGACTTCCTGGACATCATGTGAACATGAAGGGGAACCATGTAAAGGAGGCAAGAGAGAAACGCTTCACCCATTGATACTATTCCATGTTCTGATGGTCAGTCAGCAACAGTGTTGTGGGTTTTGCCCTCTCAAGGAATTGCTGCCATTCCTCAAAGGCAGCTTTGGTCGACAAGGTACTCCTTATCCCAAATAACCTTCTAATTCCACTCAGCAGGGAGGGGCTGCTAAGAGAAAAAAAGGGTGGTGTTCCTGTGTAAGGCTGACTTTCTGGGCTTGGTTTGAGGCATCTGTTTCCGCAACTTATGGCCAGCTGGGGTCTGGGTAGAGTAGGTTAGCACCTGTGGTGAATGCCCATTTCATTTTCTCAAAAGCTACAGGCATCCACCAAAAGCAAGCACACTACAGGTGAATGCTCCTGTAAGAACCACAATACCAGAAAAAAAACCCTTCATGAATTGTCAATAGATGTTGGCAAATCCTAAGATCCTGTGCACATGAAAGGAGAAATGGTGGAAAGATGTAGAAGGAGACATTGTTGGGGACACAGCTGGAGATGCACTCCTGAAAAGAAGTGCTCTATACCTGTGGAGGTACACCCTGAAGGGGACTGTGGCCCATGGGTGAGCCATAGCAGAGCATAGGAAAATGAGTAAGAAGAAAGGAGCATCAGATAGAAACCATTACACGAATTACTCCAACCTCTTGCACCACCCATTGCCTTACCAAAGGAATGAATTTGAGTAGGTAGAAAACTGTAGAGGGCATTAAGGACTCATTTTTCCTAGCCAATTTTCCACAGGCAATGCATAAATTGGATTGTCTAGCCAGCAACCACCTGGCTTCCTTACTGGAACTGACAATCACAGCCACAGCTGAACATCGATGGTCCCCAAAGGCACCACTTCCAATCAGTGAATAAAGCTTCAGGATTCTGGAAAACAGTCATTGTATTTCTTATAGAGGTGACTCAATCCAGGGCCACCCTGAAAGCCAGGAGATTATGACTGCAGAGCAGCTAGTATCTATTGCTTTGGCTGTGAAGATTAGCCAAATGTGCCTAATAAGTCCCTGAACCCTTGTGTGATCCCCACTAAAGGGGGTTTGGCAAAGCTAGGGGCAGGGTCACTCTGGGCACTGGGGATGTTAAAGAATCCTGCAGGGCTGTGACCTATCTCTGCTGTCTGGCCAGGATTTGGAGATTAGCTTTGAGCTGTAGAGAGCCATTGGAGCTGGCCCCTGCAAAGCCTGAGGGCCTGGCCCTGTGGTGCTCAGTTCAGAGATCAAGGAGGCTTGACCTCTCAGGCAGGAGTAGGGACTGCTCCATAGGGGAAGACAAGCCAGGACTGACCATAAAACAGGCAGGGGCAGTGATCTCACTATGCAGGATGCAGTCCTACAAGTACCCAAGCAGGGCTGGTGACAATAACAGGCTTCATCAACAGTCCAGTGATCATCAGATAAAGGCATGGTGGTAAGTTGGATCTGAGGTCAATCCTGAAATCCAGGAGACAGAATGAGCAACAGGAGACAGAAGAGGACGCAAGTATTTGTGTGGTACACCTATGATGTAGCTCAGGCAAGAATCAGGGACCTAGTCCTGAACTTTAATGGAACTCCTGGGCCCATGGGGCAGAGTGTGTGTGTGGAAGCCCCAGGTGAGGCTGGTCAGGGCAAGTAAAGTCTATTGATGCATGTATGGCCTTAACTTTCCTGTGCAGTGCTTTGGGATGGATGCTCAGATTTTTCAAACCAGACTAGCCATTCTGTTACTTGTATCACGTTATTAGTATCAGTACCCCACCATTATGTTTTCTTTCAGCTTCTAACTTGTTTGAATCATCAGGGCACCCATACTTGTTAGGTCAAGTGCAGCTTAATCTTGACATTTTACCTTCTTTCAGTGCTGTCTGGCCAAAATTGCATATGATCTTTGATTTAACAACACCTGTCAAAGGTCAGTGCTCAGTCTGTTTCCTCCATCTGTGCTGCTCTAGATTTTGCAGACCTGTATCATACCTCCCCCGCCTTTTCCAGAAGGTTTATCTAAGTCATTCTTTGTACAGAAGCTGTTGCATGCTTATAATCCCTTTTTCCTTGCCCTTTTCTGAACCTTTCCCCATTCCTTTGTACTCTTTTCTCAAATGGAGGACCCAGATTTGTGTACAATATTTATTGGTTTATACACTGTTGTGATGTTTTCTCTGTTTTCTTCTTTCTTAGCAATGTTTAATAATTTATTTGCTTTCTTTCACACTACTGGGCACAGAGAAGACATTTTCATACATTTTCATACAACTTCTTATTGCAACAGCTTAGGGCTCTTCATTTCAAATGTGAAGATAGGACTGTTTATTCCTATATGTGTTACTTCCCTAAATTCCATCTGCCATTTTTTGCCCATACACTCAGTACCCTGCTTCTCTTCTGCCTGCAGTTCTTCTCAGCCTGCCATTGCATATATATCTCTGAATAACATTGTATCATCAGCAGACTCTGACACTGCCATTTCCAGATCCTTGAGAGATATGTTTCACAGATCAGGTTCCAGAACACATACTTGTGGGACGCTATTTTACTGTGAAAATGGACTATTGACTCCGACTGTCTTATTTCCTGTCTTTCAACCAGTTATTTGCCCCTGCAATTATATTCCTTGGCAGTGTAACTTTTAAGAGCTTTTGACAGTGACCTCTCCAAATACCTTCCAGAAATCTATGGTCATTCAGTAAGATTGTGAGGCAGTTCTTCCCTTTACAAAAGACATCTTGACTCCTCCTTATTACAGCATCGTTATGCATATGCTCTCTAATTCTAATCTACCTTATAGTTCCCATTAAATTGCCTGCTACAAAAATCAGGCCTGTACTTTTCTAGATTTCTTATGGCATCCTTTTAAAAAATTGACATTACAGCTGACATATCCCTGTCTCCTGAGAGCAAAGCAGTTTTGTACTAGGGGTCGTTCACCCTTGAATTCTTTTAGAATTGCTGGTTATATACCATGTGGTCCTTGTGATTTGATACTATTAATGGTCCATAAACTGTATATATTCCATACTGATTCTTTCAAGACACAAGCCCTGGTACGTCCCCTCATAAAGAAGAAGAACTGGTTTGGGAATCTCATCCAGCTTTGATGTAGTGAACTCAGATGTAAAGAATTAATTTAGATTTTCTGTTATTTTCTCTTTATGCTCCTTTAAATTCTTTTTTTTAATTTTCCTGGTGCTGCAGACTGTCTAGCAGCCTTCCAGAGCCTGAAGTGTTTGAAAAGGGATTTATTATTAGATTTTATGCCTTATGCAAGTTGTTCCTCAAACCCTTTTGGCCTGTCTAATGTGTGGTTTAGTTTTTATCTGTCACAAGTTTGGATTCTATTTTCAATTTTAGGCCCAAATTTAGCTTTTGGAAGGCTGCTTCTGAAAAGCTGTCTCCAGCAACAGGCTCTCTTGTCCCTGCTGCTTAACCATGGCAGGGTTCTTTTTCCTCCTTACATGCATCTGCCCTGAGCCTCCAGTATGGTATTCTTAAAGTCTCCATGTAACCCTCAAAGACATAATTACTGAAAAAACCTAGGAACAGCTTCTTTAAAAATCAGGAACTCCAGGAAATCGTTTGCACAAAAGGGTATTCTGTGTGTGCAGGAGACTCATGCCAAACATCTACACTTGCAGTTGATTGGCTGTAGCCTATCTTCCTAACCATAATCTCAGCATCATGGCCACCTTGCTCTCTTCATGTCAAGGCATCTCCTGAGCAGTCACTTACCCCACCATGGGCTGACTGGTCCTTAAAAATCACTATACTATCATGCTAGCTCAGGAGTGAATATGTTTCTATTAGCAGACTTATCTTCCTTGGTGTGCTGGCACTGACAGTTATGGCTAGGGATTCCCTTCCTTTTGCCTCCCTTACCTCATCTCCCCTCTTCCTTGAAGGCAAGGCTGTTTACCAGCTTTCTGCTGCATACAGGAGAAATCTGTGACTGTAAGGGCCTGAGTACATCTCCCCCCATGTCCCTTCCCACCACCCTGGGGTGGGTTGTCTGGATGGGCTCAGCACCAACTTTTTTAGGTAGCTGTGAGGCCTTGAGAAGCCTCAATGGGTGCCTGCCCCTCATTCTTTCCCACACTGCTTGAAAATTCATGCTCTTGTCCTTAATGTCTGCCTGAACTATGTTGCAGGTATGCTTGTGCCTACCCTCTCTGACCCTTACCCATTGGCTTGAATTCTGGATTGAGCTGCCCTGTCACTTCACACTTGCCTGGCAACCTGGCCTGTTGCCTGAAGTGTTGGTGAACCTGCTCTGCTCTTCTTGCTCAGGTACTGTGGAATTTGCTGACTCTCAGCTCCCAGCTCTACTTTTCATATGGAGCAGTCTGCCCCTGCTGCTTCCTAACAGTCATACTGGTCAGATTGAAAAAAGCAGTGACTGAGAAAAGAAATGAGTGATAAAAGGGAAAAGGATAGGGAGATAAATATTCAAGCATGACAAAGTAGAAACAAAAAAATATGTCTTAAGGGAGGGCATATGATATAGTGGGGAGAGCCTTGCCCCTATCCCTGCACTGAAAAGGAAAAATTATGAGGAAAACATAAAAAGACTATTTTGGCCAAACTAAAGAAGAGAATAAAATCACATGCCTGTACAGAAATGCGGGCTGCACTGGTGCTGAAACTTGCAGTATGACAAAGCATGGAGTTATGCTATCAGGATTGACCCAATGCAAACTTAAGAAAGGAAAAAAGGCAGAACTGTTTAGATACAAAGGGAAAGGGGGGAACAAAGGAAAAGCTGTATAGACCTAATTACTGGCATTTGTGCAACAGCTGGTGCAAATCCCTATAGTGCTTTCTGTACCACAAGTAGTTTTTTGGTGGTAACAAAAAAGAGTGTGGATACTGAAGTGGTAGTGCTGTAGTATTCATGTAAAGCAGTGTTAAAAAATTGTAGTAGTTCTATGTGAATGTTATGGTGACATCTCTACAGTAGTGACAGAGAAACCTATGGGAACCAGAGGACTACTGCAAGTTTCTTGACAGCAGCAGGAAAACCATGTATCACCTCTGAAAGGATGCCACTGACAGATACCTTTTTGTGCAACCTCAGATGGTCACAATGTTTATATACAGCAAAGCACTTCAAACACACTCAAAATCCATGGCAAAACATGTAGCATCTTCATAAGCCTGTTGCCATACTGGTTTGCAAGCTTCCTTTGCAGCAGTGGCAGGAGTCTGGGGTGCATTTCAACAGCTAGTATTTCTGCAATAAGCCCAGTGGTTCTTTAAGGGCTTTGGAGCCATGAACTTTGACCACTAGGAGGGGAAGAACTGTGCAGCAAATGAAACTTTGATCTGAGAATTGCACCAGGCAGGTGTGGAGGGCAGAATGCAGAGACTGTGTGCAGCAGTGTTCCTGAGGTGCCGTTCTTCAGGGTTGCAGTTGCTGTGGAACTGTGAACTTACTCTGCAGTGTCTGAAAAGATCAGCAGCCCTGTAAGGATTCTGGAGCCACGTTGCAGCAGTAAAAGCATAGAACAGTTCTGTAGATGTACTGTAACCATGGCACTGCAAACCTCTGCAGGGAGGTATGAATCATTAAACACTGGTGCTGAAAACCGCAGTATGACAAAGCGTGCAGTTCTTGGAGTATTTGTAGCTGGAGCATGATAAGGTTTGTCTGCAGCACCAGCTATAGTATGGGAAACCTTGTGCGCGCTTTCCAACAGAAGCTTAAATTCCAGCACTCATTTGGGGTGCCAAGTGTGTGGCTCTGCCACCTCCCTAGAGCAGCGCATGCAGGATGCAATAGATAGCCTGATGACACATCCCTACTTTCTACCCTGTGCCTAGAAAAAGCACCTCTTTTATGCACTGAGGCAGTGACAAGCTGTCCTGTACCCAGCCTCCTGCTCTCGGCCCTGTTAGCCAGGCTCTTAAACACAGCCAGTACAGTAAGCCCACTTCAGGGAACGGGTTAAGGTGAGGCCAATTTATCGCCAGCGCTAACACTTCTTTGTCGCTGCTGGTCTTTCTTCCTCCTCTGCAGTATCAGACAAGGTTCCCGATTTCCCGCTTATTCCGGCACCGGGAGATGCAGCACCACTCGCCCCACTGCCCCAGCTGAGCACTCGCCCC